CTCACTTGGTAGCCCAGGCTGGCCTCGAACTCACAGAGATCCACCTGGCTCTGCCTCCCGAGTGCTGGGATTAAAGGCGTGCGCCACCACCGCCCGGCCTAAGATCTATTTATTTATTATTATGTATACAGTGTTCTGTTTGCGTGTATGCCTGCAGGCCAGAAGAGGGAATTGAACTCAGGGCCTCTGGAAAAAACAGCCAGTGATCTTAACCTCTGAGCCATCTCTCCAGCCCCCTCATCACTCCACTTAAACCCATGTGTAAGAGTCACAGCTCTGAGAGGAAAGGGACCCTGGTGGTCCAGAGCCAAGAAATACCACAAAGCCACACTGCACAACAAAACAAACCTCACACAAGGTTTATTGGGAAAACACAGGGTAGGGTGGGGGTGGGGGGGCTGCCTCTGCTCAGGAGAAAAGCAGCAGAGGACTGAGTGGGAGGCAGGTTTACACAGGGCTTCGTGGGGGCAGATTTTTTTCCAGGGTGGAGATTTCCAGGGTAGGAATTGGTGAGATTTCAAGTCGTGAGCTTGAGGTGAGCTCAGCGACTGGTTGGATTTTGAGCTCAGGGACTGGTGGGATTTCAAGCCCCAGAACCGAGCTCAGGCTTTGTACCCTACACCATGCTTTCCAGAACACCACATTCACCTCAACCTCTTCCTCATACCAACACCAAAAGACAATGTGTAAGATCCTTCCTGAAAGGAAAAGTATCAGCCCAGGCCCCCCAAGACCATGTTCTCAGCACAAAGGAGATTTATTTGCCCCAAAGGAACAGAGGGCAGGAATAAGGGACAGAGACAGGAGACAGAGGACGAGGGCAAACAGGAAGGGAACAAGGGACGGGGGAGGGATATTTGTCCTGGTGGGACAAAGGACTGCCTCTGGATAGAGAGGAGACAGACGTGGCTCGTAGGGAAATGGCAGTTTATAAGGGGAAATCCAGTGTTAGGATGAGGTGTCTAATTTTAATTGAGCGTGTTAATTAGGTGAGCCAAAGGAGAGCTTTTGATTGCTGGACTTCAATAGTCTGATAGCTGATGTTGGTAGTCAGCCCCAGGAGGAAGTAGCCAAATAGAGAATCTAAGAGATTTTAGCAAGGCAGAAGGTATCGGGGAGAAGGACAAGGCCTGCCAGAGCCATGCGTGCCTGGCCCCGGCTGGAGTCCTTCACTTCCTGCCCTGGCCCACTGGGTCTTCTCTACATTTATCTCAGCCAGAGCCCACCCTGGCTTCAGCACCACCCCTCCTAGGGGTCACAGCGATGACAGCCTCACTGGTCTCTTGTCCCTGTCCTGACGGTTCTAACTCCGCATTCACTTTGATGCTTATAATTCACCAGCACCCCCTCTGTGCAGAATAAACTCCAAAACAATCCCTATATCTGGCAGCATCCGCATCCGACCTCCAGGTCCGGGCTGTGCCTCCTCCCATCTCTTCCCCAGTCTGGTCATGGGCAAAATTCTTCTCATCTGTGAAGACCAAACCTTTGCTGCCTCCTCCATAATGAACTTTTCCTGGGGAGATGCAACACACTCGTCTTAGGGTTTCCAGTGCTGTGAAGAGACACCATGACCACGGCTACTCTCCTAAAGGAAAACGTTTAATTGGGGTGGCTTACAGTTTCAGAGGTTCAGTCCTTTATCATCATGGCGGGACATGGCAGCGTGCAGGCAGACGTGGTGCTGGAGAAGGAGCTGAGAGTCCTACATCTTACAGGCAACAGGAAGTGGATTGTGACACTGGGCACAGCTTGAGCATAGGAGATCTCAAAGCTCACCCCCACCACCACAAACTTCCTCCAACAAAGCCACACTTAATCCAACAAGACCACACCTGCTAATAGTGCCACTCCCTACGAGTTTATGGGGGCCGATGACGTTCAAACGACCACAACACATCTATTCACCCCAGACTGGGAGCCCAGAACAGACCAAAGTATGGATACCATTAAAAGCCTAACTAGGTGAACCACTGAGTTTTATTGGGGTTACTTAAGGGACTATGGGTGACAGGTCACTTACAGAGAGAGTGACTTAAAGACAGCTGCATCACCAAAGCCCACCCTGGCACAGATGACAGCTCGCAAACTCTGGGAACCTGCAGCCGACCGCACAGCCTGCAGTCAGCTCAACAGGTTGGAGAGTGTGTTTTCCAGGTGGCTCGGTTGGTCTGAGCCTCCTTCAGGCGGCTCTGGTGGCCTCTGGGTCCTTCCAGGCCACTTGACTGGTCTCAGGGGTCTCCTCTGCAGCTTGGCTCCTCTGAGAACAGATCCTCTCAGCACCCGCTACTGTTTACTGTTGGGAAAGGTGGAGCCTAGTGAATCTGGTCGGTTTCAGGGACTTCCTGAAGCTATTTTGAGTTGTTTACTTTCTGTCTGAAGGAGCTTGCCTACCTGGAAGGAAGCTGCTACACTACATGAGAGCTGAAGCTAGGAGGGTCATCCAGGCTCAGCCACCTCTTAGCTGGGCCCCAGGCACCAAAGCATCCCTCCCCTTCGGCACCTCTGTCTACACTTGGTCGTTTCTGTTCTCTCCAGGCGGTACAAGAAAGGAGCACCTTGCCTAGCAGGAGTCAGGCACGGAGTATCAGGGAAGGAATGAGGGGGTCTATCAACAAACCCTTCCAGGAAGCACCACGGCGGTGTGGAAGAAGTGCACCATGCCTGGACCAGAAGTGATGGGAGTGTCTGAGTGTGGCTGAGTTGGAAAAAAGGCTACTGGTGCCACTGAGGGAGCTGGGGTAAGAGGAAAAATTGGAAGTGGGATCCACACCAGGACTCCTACCCTTAAGTCCTCAGTGTTCCTTTTATGACAAGCTCAACTCAAGGCCACCTGGACCATCGCTGTTGGATTCTTACCTGCAGGCTGGGCTTTGGAAAGCCTTCCTTCTGGACTGGAGTGTGACTCGGTGGTAGAGCATATGCCTACAAATGCTGCCCCGGGGTGGTTGGCCAGATCAATGACAGGGATCCGTGGGCTCTCTGGGCTTTCAGAAGGATCATACACTGCTGTCCTGGCTAGTTTTATGTCAATTTGACACAAGCTAGAGTCATCCGAAAGGAGGGAACCTCTACTGAGAAAAATGCCTCCATAAGATGCAGCTGTAAGGCATTTTCTAATTAGTGATTGATGGGGAGGGTCCAGCCCATTGTGGGTGGTGCCAGCCCTGTGCTTGCTGGTCCTGGGTTCTATAAGAAAGCAGGCTGAGCAAGCCGCTCTCCATGGCCTCTGCATCAGCTCCTGTCTACAAGTTTTGCGTTCCTGTCCTGACTTCCTTCAGTGATAGACTATGATGTGGAAGTGTAAGCCAAATAGACCCTTTCCTCCTCAAGTTACTCTGGATATGGTGTTTAATCGCTGCAACAGAAATCCTAACTAAGACAATCGATAAAAATGTCTGTCTTCACTTCCTGCCCCTCGCCTCACCTCCCTTTGTCTGTCAGTCAAGGGGCCGCCTCCCCGGGAGCCTGCGGTGTCCACCAGGAGGCAGCACGGGATCGTGCTCCGGCTCACCTGCCCACGCAGCTCTCCGGAGCACTGGGGACCCAGCGACACGGTCCCGCCCTCCGGCCCAGGGGAGGAGCTGGGCAAAGCACAGGACAGTCAACACCCCACCGAGGGGCTCAGATGTCTTCAGCAAGCACTCAGCGGGGTCCGCCCCTTCCCGTGTGCATTCGCCTGTTCCCTGGGCGACAGTCAACAACAGGCAGGACCGGAAAACACAGCTGAGCGCAGATGCTGCCCCAGCCTGGAGAGTCACTCTGAGCTCGGGATCCGGTCGGGGACCTTATGCAGGCTTTCCTGGGTCTCCATCAGTCTCTCTCTTTTCTCCCTTTCGCTCTCTCCAGTGCCCCCATGGACAGCCAACACGCTGGGTTCCCCAAAACCACATCATCCGGGTACCGATTGCCCCCTACCAGGCCTCTTGCCTCAGTTTCCAGGGCCGGAGATGGCCCCACAGCAAGCAGAGGTCTTGCTGGTGGCTGCCAGGGTCCCGCAGCCCTGGGTGTGCAGCAGGACCAGCTGTGGAGGGAGCTGGTGGAAGCCGAGGAGCGAGGCCAGCGGCGTTGGTGAGTGTCCTGCCCCTGCCTCCCTTCTCCCCTAGGCTTCCCACACACCCCATCTGCCTTGGAGTCTGGGAAGGTGCTGGGCAAAGGGAGAATCAGGCCCAGACTGGGTCTGAAGCAGCCATATGACCCCAGGGCCTCAGTCCCAGCAGGGGGCTGGGACTATAGACAGAGAGAGGGCTCTGGTCCCACCTCCCACCTCACAGCAATCTCTCCAGCTGGACATGGCAGGCTAAATGGGAGGGGATGCTGGCCTGGGGGTCGGGGTGGGGGGCCTCCTTCATGCCTTCATTCAAGGAAGGATACCCAGGAGCCTTTGTGGGCTGCCAGGGGAAGCTGGGTAGGTTTGGCCAGGGTTCGAGGGGGCCTCGCTTCCAGGACTCCAAGAGAAGCAGGTAAGCTACGCAAGGACAGTCCCTGAGCTGTATGCCCAGTGTGAGTTTGGAGTTTGGAAGACAAAACGGAAGTGTGCGGACTGGCTGGAGCACAGAGGGAAGATGGGCCGAGAACGACCGCCCGGGCAGCTGTGCAAGTCTAGACGGGGGTTTTCCAGAGGCGCGCGCTGTCCTGAGCTTGGCACATGGTCGCTCTCCGGTTTCTCTTCTCCCCTCTTTTAGTCTGGCCGGCAAACTCAAGGCCTTGTATGGGCCGCAGGCACTCTGCCACAGAATTCGTCCACATAAGCAAATGTCAGAATTGCCTTCTTCTTCGGGGCAGAGCAATATTCTGTTGCGTGGATATACCACATTTCTTTAAAATCCATTTCACCTCTCATGGTTTCCACATTTTGACTGTTGTTACGTGCGTCCCAGCGAACACGGGAGAGCAGATTTCTCTTCAAGATCTGACTTCCCACCTTTCAGATAAATATTCAGAAGTGGAATCAGAAAGCAGCTCTGTTTTTGTCTATAGGGACTACCACACTGTTTTTCAGTGTGCCAGGAATCCGGTTTCTCCACAGCCTGCTGATGCTCATTGGTTGTTTTTGGTGCCTCCCCGCACCCCCCATTGGGTGGTCAGAAGTACAAGCCTGGGCTGGCAACTGGCAGTAGTATTGGAGGTAGCACGCCCAAACTGTACAATCTGCCGCTGTCTCTAGGGAGATAGAAACGGGGTTGGAATGTGTTCAACTGTGCCTGACGTTATAGAGTTAGAGAATTGCTTCTAGGCTACCCCGGGTTTCCCTGACATCACCTGTCTTCTGCATTGGTTGTGGGGTGAGAACAGAGGAGAAGCACAGATACAGGCCGTTCACCTCCCCCAAACCCTCAACATGGCCCCCAAACAGGAAGTGGGGTAAAAAAAAAAAAAAAGTCTGCATGGAACAGGCAACTTGGAAAAAAAAAAACACTCCCCACCCCTCTGAACCCCAAAATGGCTTCATTAAAATATATGTAGACTTAGCTGGGCAGTGCGATGCACACCTTTAATCCCAGAACTCGGGGGGCAGAGGCAGGCAGATCTCTGAGTTCAAAGACAGCCTGGTCTACAGAGCACATTCCAGGACAGCCAGGGCCACACAGAGAAACCCTGTCTTGAAAAACCAAAAATGAATAAAAAAAAAAAAGAAAAGAAAAACAAAAATAAATAAATAAAAGACAAAAGTAAACTTGATACTACAGAGATGCCTCAATGGTTAGGATCACTTGTTCTTTTTTTTTTCTTTTTTTTTTCACTTGTTCTTCTTGCAGAAGACCCAGGTTCAGTTCCGAGCACCCCTACCTAGCGTCTCGGAACTGCCTGTAACTCCAGTTCTAAGGAATCTGGCGCCCTCCTCTGGCCTCTGTAGGTACTACACACACGTTGCACATACAGACAGGTGAACACATTACACATAAATTCTTTACAAACTTTTAATGTGTAAAATTGAGGCCTAACATAGTGTTTTAGTTACCTCTCTATTGTGTGATAAAACACCATGACTGGGGCTGGAGAGATGGCTCAGAGGTGAAGAGCACTGACTGCTCTTCCAGAGGACCTGAGTTCATTTCCCAGCACCCACATGGTGACTCACAACCACCTGTAGTGAGATCTGGCGCCCTCTTCTGGCCTGCAAGGACATGTGCGGGCAAAACATTGTATACACATTAAATCAATCTTTAAAAACAAAACAAAACGCCATGACTAAGGCAGCTTATAAAATAGTGTTTGATTTGGGGCTCTTGGTTCCAGAGGGCTAGAGTCTATGGCCATCATGACAGAGAGCATGGCAACAGGCAGGCAGACATGGCATTGGAGCGGTAACTGAGAGATCACATCCGTTTTCAAAAGCCAACTGGGAATGGCATGGGCTTTTTAAGCCTCAAAGCCTGACCCACCAACACACCTCCTCCAAACAGTTCTACCAACTAGGAATCAGGTATTCAAATACATAAACCTGTAGGGCCATCCTCATTCAGACCATCACAAATGGTGATGGCTCAAGGCTCTAATCCCAGCGTTGGCAAGGTAGAGACAGCAGGATCAGAAGTTCAAGGTTGCCAAGGGTGGCAGTGTACAGCTTGAATCCCAGCACTCAGAGGCAAAGGCAGGCAGATATCGGTGAGTTCAAAGCCAGCCTGGTCTACATAGAAAGTTCACTGGGTGGTGGTGGCACATGCCTTTATCCCAGCAATTGGGGGGCAGAGGCAGGCAGATCTCTGTGAGTTCGAGGCCAGCCTGGTCTACAGACGAGATCCAGGAAAGGCGTAAAGCTACACAGAGAAACCCTGTCTCGAAAAACCAAAAAAGAAAAGAAAAAAAAAAAAAAAAGACAGTTCCAGGCCAAGGCAAGGTCATCCTCAGCTACATAATGAGTTCTAAACTAACCTGGACTAAAACAGACAAGTGAATAAATAAAGAAACTGTAAACTTGAAGTGTTAAACATGTTTGCAGGAAGAATAATTTGTGGGAATTACAAAAACAAGAGAGAAAAAAGCTACCGGTCACTCTGTGGGCTGCTCCATAAATACAATGTGGGCACTTGGCATTTATCATGGTTTCATAGCATTTGCACTCCTCCAGGGCGATATAAAGACTTAAAGATAATGTGAAAGTCAATCTTCAGAATATTCCAGAAAAAAAAAAAAAAACAACTCACTCACATTCCTGTGTTTTCCTTTCCAGGGCTGAGAACTGGGGTTTCCTGAAAGACTACGACCCTTTGGTAAGGCAGCACCCGCCCTCCAGCAGACTGCTTGCAGCATAATTATCTAGTCTTTCTTCATTTAACTGAATTTATTGAGTACCTGCTCTTTGCTCTGTGCCGGAGTGAGGAATAGAACAAGTACGGTTTAAGTAACTCAAGGTCTAATGGAAAAGAAAATATTTATATAGAACATTAAGAAAATATTTACTCAGCTATATTCATAGCAGCACTATTTGTAATAGCCAGAACCTGGAAACAACCTAGATGCCTGTCAATGGAAGAATGGATGAAAAAAATGTGGTACATATACACAATGGAGTACTACTCAGCAGAGAAAAACAATTTGCAGGCAAATGGAACTAGAAAAAAATCATCCTGAGTGAGGTAACCCAAACCCAGAAAGACAGTTATGGTATGTACTCACTCATAAGTGGATTCTAGATATAAAATAAAGAACAATCAGCCCACAACCCATAGAACCATGGAGGCTATATATATAGCATGGAGGTCCCTAGACGACTGTGGCTTATAATAAATTTCGGTTTTACTCAATTATTGAAAAAAAATAGCCAAATGAATGGAAACACATGAACTGTGAACCAAAGGCTAAGGGGCCCCCAGCTGGATCAGGCCCTCTGAATAGGTGAGACAGTTGATTGGCTTGATCTGTTTGGGAGGCAACTAGGCAGTGGGACCAAGTCCTGTGCTCATTCCATGAGTTGGCTGTTTGAAACCTGGAGCTTATGCAGGGACGCTTGGCTCAATCTGGGAGGAGGGGACTGGACCTGCCTGGACTGAGTCTACCAGGTTGATCGCAGTCCTCCGGGGAGGCTTTGCCCTGGAGGAGGTGGGAATGGGGGGTAGGCTGAGGGTAAGGGGAGGGGATGGGAGGGGGGAGAACAGGGGAACCCATGGCTGATATGTAGAACTGAATGGTATTGTAAAATAAAATAAAAGGGAAAAAAAAGAGGTAAAATTAAAAAAAAAAAGAATATTTATATAGAACATTTAGAAAACAATTACCCAGTTTGTTGATTTTATTAAAGATATCACACACACACACACACACACACTCACACACTTTTTTGGTATGTCTGTGTGAGCGTATTTCTATGTGTATGTTTGTATATGCAGTTATAGGAGAGAAAGGGGAAGCTGGAGGGATGATTGTTCATGATGTGGGTGCTGAGAACTGGACGCTTGATGTTCAGAGGCTAAACCACCTCTCCAGCCCTCCGAGTTTCACTAAAAATAAACCAGGAGCCGGTACCCGTACACATTTACTCCCAGCACTCTGGGAGAGGCAGAGGCAGGCGCATCTCTGTATTGTCCGGACCAGCCTGTTCCTTACAGCAAGTAGTAAGCCAGCCAAGGCTGCCGAGTGAGGCCTTGTGTCAAAAACAAAACAACAAAACCAAGTGGCTCATTTGCCGCTGAGACTTCTTGCCTAGTTGAGGAGTCTGCTCATCTCGGAGGAATGTGTGCCCCAAGTGCCCTGAGGAGAAGGGACTTGAGTAAACGCTCTGAGTCTGCATCTCCAGTCGACACTCCACCCTGCCCGAAGTGGATGTTGTCAAGACCCTTTCTAGCTCCCATTCTGGTTTCCAGCTCCAAACCAGGATGTGAGCATCCAAAGAACGCCTCAAACACAGTGCACAGGTTCTTCGTTTCCCACGGCGCCCGTGACCTGAGATGTCTCCTCTCCTCAGGGAAATAAGAAGGAGCCAGAGGAGCTGCCTGCAGATGTCCCCTTCTTCTCAGACACACTCCCCAGCTCCACGAGCCAGGAGGTGGGCAGCAGGGTGGACACGCCCCTGGGGAGAGCCCTCACGCACATGGACTTCTTCTTCGTGGAAGGCACTCGGAAGAAGAAGCCGGAGGATGAGCTGCAGCCGGTGTAGAGATCTCAGGGTGGACCGCAGCAGGTGGGTATGGACTGGACCAAGCCCAGGCAGCCCTCAGAGTGTGGGTGGGTACTCTTGGCTCAATCCCACATGGGACAGGAGGAGGATTTCAGAAACATTCCAGGACCACAGAACCTCAACCCTTCCAGCTCAGGACCCAGGGATGCTGGAAAGAGAACCCAGTATTAAGGCCAGAGCATGTCTGACGGGTTCAGTCTAACCTTATAACCACGAGGCTGCTCACAGCTCCTGCCTTTGTTGTCTGTCGTCTGTCTGTCTGTCTGTCTGGGGCATCTTGGCCTGACTTCATGCATTGGGAGGAAGCAAGGTGAGCTGGTAGCGCACAGCCTTGGGATCTGACCAGAAGGCTGCAGCCTTCTTTCTGGGAGTCTAAGGTCAAAGTGGGGTGTCCTGACCAATCCGAGATCACAGAGCTAGGTGGCGCAAAAGTCACCAGTGAGTGCAGTCAGGCGTCAAGGTCATACTGTGGCCGCATCGCATGACCTTGAGTTGGACGGGTAGAGAAGGAATGATTAGGGGCTCGGTACAGGTGCAGCCTGGGTTTCTGGTGTGAGCATGCTGTATGTCACTCTACCCATCACCGCCGCCGTCACCACCTCCCCGAGAGCTATTTCTGTCCGAGTGAGAAAGAGAAGTCAAGACTGGGGCTGGAGAGATGGCTCAGCCGCTAAAAGCACGCGCAGAGGATGCATATACACATACACATAATTAGAACAAAACTAAGACCAAGTCGAGCTGCAGGTGGCTTGTGCACACTGGAGAGACTCATAAAGACTTCTCTAACCTGTCTCCTGGGACATGGTCCCCAAGCCTACAAGCACAGCCACTTACGGACGGTGCAGCACCAAAGCCCATCTCACCCTCTTTGTGGGTATTTTCCTCGCTATCCAAGAAGCTTGGATGCCAAGGCAAACAGTTGGGGTAGCCTGGTCAATTCCCTGTGATGTCTGGCTCAGGGCAGTGATATCTCTCCAGGCCTCCATCTCCACAGTTAGAGGATGGGCAGGAAAGGGGAGGAGACAGATCACAAGGCTATCATGGGGGGGGGGGGCTGTTCTCCAGAGCGCATTGATCAGCAGGGACCATAAAGTACCAGAGTGCATTGGTCAGCAGGGACCGTACAATGCTTCTCACCAACTCCTTTCCCATCCACAGACCTTGGCTGGAACACCACGCTGGGAAAAGATCTTGTCTACATATCTCTCAGTTGTTTTGGACCAACAGGTTCCTGGGGCACAGGGTTCCCTCTCCAGAGTGCCAAGGCCAGCTGAACCAAGAAAGCCTGAAGGAGAGTATGGCATGCCGCGTCTGCATGAATCTGCAGATCACAGCCAGCCCCTCGTACCCTCCACCCCACATACCACCCCCCACCCTCCACCCCCGCCTCCCAGTCACATCTTCAGGCTCTTCAGGAAGGTACCTGCTGTGGACCAACACCGTCTCCCCCACGGGCTGAGGAAATGGAGATGGAGGATCCAGCCACCAGCGTCTTCTCTCTTTGGGACCAGAACAAAGAAGGCTGGATGAGCCAGGCAGCCTCCAGACCTAGGCACGGAGAAGTGGCACCACTCCACGGCATCACGGGAACCCCCTAGGGAGCTTTGTCTAGACAGTCAACCCGGGCAGCTCAGAGCCCACAGTCTGTCTGGTCAGCACCAGGGAGGGGTCCAGAAGGGGCGAGGCTGGGCAGCTGAGGACCACAGCAGGGCAGAAGGAGCCCTTCACCCCCGACCGCTGGCATCTCTGAGCATCTCTGCCTCCATCTGCTCCGTGGTAGAAGCTGCCTCTACTTCCAGTGACAAGAATGACCGCCAGCCCTGGAGGCACGGAGTGACTGTTGGGCATCTTCCTGTAGTAGACGTGATGAGGTCATGTACAGGGACACATGAGCCAGCCTGAGAGGTACCAATCCACCAAACAATGTGGACACCAAAATGAAGGAGAGTAGAAGGCCAACCCCAGCTACACCCGACTCACTTGTACACACACACACACACACACACATTATTAAAAATAATTACATTTTTTAAAGTACTGAACTCTTGAGGATTGTAGAATAAAGAACCGAAATATCGCCATTTTAGGCCTGACACTCATAGCTAATTTAGGTGTGAATCAGTAAAGGCCATAGAAACCTTTAGTTAGAGATTCCTAGTGAACCCCGTCAATAGAAGGGCAGCTGACATGATGCACCTCCCAAAATGACAGTCTGGAGACACGAGCTGTGTCACCAAAGACAGAGACACATCCTTGTCACTCTGTGAAAGACAAAGGGAGCTGAGGCCGGGGCCCAGGTTAAAAGGCAGTACAGTCCAAAACCTCGGTCCATTCCTGGGTCCGTAGGGAACACTATGGGGGTAAATGCAGATGACAGACGGACAGGGAGCTGCATCAGTGTCATACCTGTCAATCACACTGTGGTGGCGTAGGACCCAGCTTCTGAAACTGAACTGGGGTCAGGTAACTGTGGGGGGGGGGGGTCTGCAAAAACTTGGTCACGGTAAGTGTTTTGGACATGCAGTGACCAAAAATTAATTCAAAGTCCAACGCATAATGGACTCCAGATGTTCCTGGCAGTGCTGGCCAGTTGTTGTATCATGTGACTTCACCATAGCTGTGGCTCTGAACATACAGTGTGTGTGATTTGTACTGAGCAGGCTGTCACACCACATGACTTTAAGAGACTCACGGGCCCATGCACACGTGTGTGTGTGTGTGTGTGTGTGTGTGTGTGTGTGTGTGTGTGTGTTCTACTTGACTCAAGTTTCATTTTTTGAAAAAAGGTATTTGGCTTGCGGCTAGAACAGTGTCCAACAATTTCTAAAATAGCCTTAAACAGACTGTGCCGTTTGGTGTTAGTTATTTCTGTAAGGGCAGTCTCTGTTTTGGCAGTTATAAAATCAAAATAGCTGAGAGCTGCAGAGATGGCTGAGAGGTAAGGAGTACTGAGAGGTAAGGAGTACTGAGAGGTAAAGAGTACTGAGAGGTAAGGAGTACTGAGAGGTAAGGAGTACTGAGAGGTAAGGAGTACTGAGAGGTAAGGAGTACTGAGAGGTAAGGAGTACTGAG